TGGTTTGTGATTTTTGTCAATAATTACTATATTTAATCAATATATGATTAAGCTTATACTAAAAACCTCTTTTAATCTCACACATTTTTATTTTGCAATTACATTGTTTAAACAAGAACTATTATTTTACATTTCGGCTCACAAAAGCCATTTTCAAAAGTTTTTTTTTCCAAAAACAAAACAATATTAGCCATAATAACATTAAACTTTTATATTTAATTAAACAATTTATGGTTCTATCATAGTAACAGGTTCATATAACTATTATTATGCAGTAATCGTATTATGTTTTTAATTTTTATTGTTTTTCATGTTTTGTAAAACCCATTCTAAACGTAAAATATTGTAAAGCTTATTTATATTTAAATGATATGTATGTAACTTGTAAAACCATATTATTCTACAATAGCCAAGCTAGGCTCTATTAGTATGGGGAACCCCCCAAAAACAAATAAAATTTCTATCTATCTATTTAATTAAACAATTACTGCCGTTTGAGTAGTATACCATGTATATATATGTAATTAAAAGTTTTATAAAAATGTTTTTATGACTGATGATCATTTGTTTTTGAAAAACAAATTTTTTGAAATGGTTTTTTGGTGTCGAAACGTAAAATAATAATTCTTCTTAAAAAGATGTTTTAATTATAAAATAAAAATGTGTGATATTAAAAGAGGTTCTTATATAAACTTAATGATATATTGATTAAATTTAATAAAAAATAATAATTCTATCTACGGCTCGTTCGCCGTTTGTCATTACAAAAGGTTTCTGACTTGTTAAACGGAAAGAAAGGTATTATAAAGAATCGCAGGGTGCCTTCAGAGCCCAATAACTGGCTGGTCCAAGGAACCATAGCCAGCGGGAGGCAAAAGGACGAGGAGAGGGAAGATGGAAGAGGGAGAGGACAAAGCGGCTACTGCTCGTTCGGAAAACGTTAGCTCACACCTTGACAAAAAGCCGGGTTCGTTAGGCCCTGATTTGTGGGCCCGGGCCATTACAGCCTCTCCTAGCCTATACTTAGTCTTTGTGTATCTAGACCAATAGCTGTTCCGCTGTATCTGTCGAGATTATCAGAAAATCGTGTTGCCAGCTACAATAGGAAGGAACCGTGTGAAGGAAATAGCAGCCATGTCCAAAATTATTCGATTCTGTAACCACAGGCACACAAAATAGAGTCTTATAGATTCGACTCATTTTGAGATTTTATTTGAGCATTGCGTTGAAGAAAGATCCTCATCCTTAAACTAATTTAAACACCATGTAAAAATAATGTTTTCGTATTTTAATTCTGTCAGCCGCACTTTACTGATATCTTACCGATATCTATGTATTATTCATGTTGCTTATAAGTACAAACATGTGATTTAACTTATACATATGTATTTATCTATAGTTTCATTTATCTACCAAAGCTTTTTCTTCATTTTAATGGGATGTATAAAAAAAATGACTTTTTTTTAACCAAATACTTGTATTATTATTTCTTTGATATAAAATACAATTAATACCCAAAGTATAGTCCATTATTAGCCACCACCATTAGCCATCTGCTAGACAATTGTTCGATTCCACGCAGATACCATTCTTTGGAAGGCGGTCTAAGAATTCTTGGACCGCAATTTCAACTTCCGCAAAATTTTCAATTTTTTTCCCTTGAAGAAACCATGGGTCTTGAATCCTTCCATGGATCTATATAAGTAGTAATCCGATGACGCAGCACTATATGGTGGATGAGACAGGAGTTCGAACCCATGAGGTTCTTTAAACTTTCTTTAAAGATGTTGGAATATAATTCCTTTTCAATGCAAGATAACGCTCTGACAACTGTGTGTACAATCTTTCCTATTGTTCGCAGTAAAGCTTAGAATTCATAGAACATCCATCAGTGACAAATTCGTGTTGAATAACACCTTCGAAATTAAAAAAAAAAAACGCAAAGCATGGATTTTTTTTTTCAAATTTCTCCCTTGCGACAACCGGAAAACCAGTTTGAACGCGATCTAGCCATTGCTCACGGATATTCGGATATTGCCTGTAAACCCATTTCTCATCATAATATTCTGGTAAAATCTCATATCAGAAGGGTTTTTCAATAAACTTTCACAAATTTCTAACCTCTTAGCCGATCGTTGAGAAGTAAGTTCCTGAGGAACCAGTCTGCTGCTCTCTTTCACCTTCCCCATGGAGATTAGATGGCAACTAACAGTATCTTTCGACACACCATTCAGCCTGACAAATTCACGAGTACTTCTGGACGGATTTGGCTCAAACAGCTTCCTGCAGAACCTCATCATGATATCCATTAATGGTCTTCCGGAGCCCTTCCTTTCCAACGTCGTATCTTCCTTGCTTTTAAATTTTTCAAACCAACGCCGCACAGTGAGCTGGACAACGACACCTTCCCCTTCATATTTAATTATTTCACGAGATTTCTATTAACGCCTTAAAATTACGAGAATTTCGTAGTTCGTAACACTCCCATGTTTCTTCTTTGAAATAACTAAACTGAGGCTTTTTTTGAATAATTCGAATGAGGTTAAACAAGCTTAGAGAATACTCTAAAGGGATTATTAAGCATTGGTAAGTATTAAATAGGATTAAAATTTTTAAAGTTCTTTGAAAATTTAATTTGATAAAAAGTTCTGTTGGGCCTGTTGAGTGTATATTGGTGATCACTCAGGTCGAGTGAGTTTAAACCCATGACTTCACAATTAAGTGAAATATATTCAAAACATTTCCCCAATAGACTGTAATATAATTTTCTAGCGTTTTGAATGAATTTTATTTAATAACTCGTGTATATACACTTGTGTATATACACAAACATTTGTTATTTTAAAAAAACGATCTTATTGAACTGTATATTTTAAAATATCCTGACATATATCATAAAAATAAATGGAGTATTTTTATAGCTTATTATATTTAAATTAATTAATAATTCAGAAAAATTAAATTTGGGAAATAATTAAAAATTCTCATGTTTTCCTTATTTATGTTGTATTTTTTTTTGTTTCTTTCATCAGTTTTTTAAATGTTTATTTCATTATTCTTTAAGAATAATTTCACATTGATGAACTACATCATGGTTGTAGATTAGATTTCCTCCATAGAATATACTTTGCAGTTTTATGTTTCTTTTTAATTCGAGAATGGAAAGAAAATAAATTTAAAAGTACTAATTCCCATTTATAGTCCTGCTGTTGATATCAACTTAAAACTATTAATAGAGGTTAATGAAGAAGAAGTCGTGAATTCAATTCAATTTAGAATTTATTACAAAATGTGTGAATTTCTCTTAAAAAATTTCCATTTAAAGATCATTGTTCTCTATTTTATATAACATTTTGTTATTGGAAAATCTTCCTAAACTATTTGTTTTATACCAAATCTCAACTTAAAACTCTCAAATAACTCCTCTATACCTATTATTATAAACAGATCCATGTTAATTCACCTTACTGCTGCATGCCTCCAATATTTCCTGATTTTTTAAACTAAGTCACTTCTAACAACTTAAAAAAATAAATAGTTACCATACAAATTATAATGAAGGAAATGTTGTTTCCCTTCAGAAGAAAATACCTCCTTTTGATACATATTTATTTTATTGCTTTATTAATATATACATTTTTTATAATCTTTTAGTTGTAGTTTCGAAGATTTGTCTTCTTTACTTTTTGGTACATTCTAATTAACTTTTTGGTATTAATAATAATTTTTAATAGGTATTTTTAGATGCCAAAGAATTTGAAGTATGCGATAGAAATGTTGTTCGATATTACTATACTATAATATTTCCAGTATTGAAGAAACGTTGAAAGATTGGTTGGAAAAACTAATGCATTTTTTTAAAAATAATTTTTCAAAATCAGTAAAAGTTTGGTCTTTAGCTAATACTAAGTAATTACATTTTAACCATTTTTTTTTTTAGATAAATAACTTCTAGATACTATTTATCTATAATTTTACTATTGAAGATGTTATTTATTTCAGATTTTATTATAGAGTGAAATGAATATTGTTGTAAAGAATTAGTTAGAGCTTTAAAAACCTATAAGGGAAATTTAATAGAAAATTATTTATTTTTGTTTTAATATATTGTATGCCCATAAATATAATAAAAATAAAATCTCACAATCACTTAATTTACTTTATCCAATTATTTTAATAGCACTCTGCCTCAGAATACATTGATGTAGTTTTCTTAATAGTGAAATCGGCTTGTAAAGTTATTCTTTCTTACAATTTATCTATTCCAAAATAATATAATTAATGAATTAAGCAATTTTTTAAAATTAAATTTTATTTAGTTAATTTAAAACTAAGCTTCGACAGTGCTTTTGGCTGGTATGATTCATTAAAAATTATAGTTTTATTCTTTGCATAATTTTTCTAAGGATAGGTGAAACAATTAATGTTACATAACAAAATGGGAAACATATCTCCCCGATACGATAACTTGAAGGAATTATATTATTTTTTTTATCTTCAAAATTATAATATAAAGGAATTGAAATTAAAAAAAGTATGCATTCAAAGGAAGAAAAAGTTCCAAATTAAATCGTGTAATAATTTTAGATCTGTAAATGTTTATCCCTAGATGTCAAATAAAGGTTGTGCGAAAAAATAAATGGTGCAGAAAACTAATTTTAGACAGCATATTTTGCTTCATACACCTAATTAGAAATACATTCACATTTTGTATTTCTTTAACATATTCTTTATTTTGATAGTAATATATTTAAAATTATTGACAAGTAAGTAATTAAAATCACTTTTAATAAAAATACATAAATTATCAACAGATTCCTGGTTAACATAAATCATTTTTCATTAATGTATACACTTTTTTTTATATGGGGATGGGTGTTGCATAAAGAAAGAAGAAAAAAACATTTAAAATTCAATATTTAATTTGATCTTAAATATAAACATATTTACAAAACGTATTTACAAAAAGTAAATAACATAAAATATAAAAATTGACTAGAGCATGCCATATAACAAAGCTTAAATAGGAAAACTTCAACCTTAATTTAAATTTAATGAAAAATATACAGTCAAGAATATGTTAATGTAGTATCACAGTAATCGTCATTTCTTCTAATCCGCCCTCTTCCTTGGCGATACCTGAGCAAACAGAAACAAACAAAAACAAAATAAATAAATGAATAAAACAAAGCAAACTTAGGAGTAAATTATAAAAATAAATTAAATTAACAAAATAAATTAAAATAAAACATTAAAATAAAATAAATTATTATTTATTATAATTTATTATATGTCATGGAAGCTTTTGTTTTATAGTAGCTTAGATTGGATGCAATTATTTGTACTGAGCTTTTTATTTTATATATATTATAATACATATATATATATATATATATATATATATATATATATATATATATATATATATATATATATATATATGTAATATATATATATAAAATAAAAAACAATATATAAACAAAGTCCGTAGAACAGACCTTCTGTTATCTAATCAAGACAAAATGTGGCCTACAAAAAGCATTGGGGGGAGCTTAACCTATATAACCTCGTTACTTTAGGGTGTTGGGAGTAGAGGTCACACCAAGCGGTCTAAAAATTTGTAGGCCATCTTTATTCTCGATTTTGTCAGCAAATTACCTTATGATTTAAGTAAAAAGCACGGTGTTTACGGGTTTTTAATAATTCATTAAATTGGCAAAGATTACCCATCTCCAAATTGAAAATGTTCTATTTCAAAACATTTTCGTCAAGAAAAAAGTCGTAGATTGCAATAAGATGTAGCCATTAACGAAGTTTTAGATGAATGTTTACTGACTATTGTAAAGAAATCGAAACGGAAAAATTTCGAATGTTCGATAGTTCGCTTCCTGTTGGTTTTGAAAAAAGTTTATATATTTTGTACATATTTTGTAAGAACTTTTTGAACTGTGATCGCAAGACTTTCATTATTTTAAAAATATTTTTTCCCCAACGATAGCACATTGTTCGCTCGTATAACAACGTTCCATTTTTATTAACCCCAAACCAGCAGCTGTTAAATTAACAAAGAAAAAGGAAACAAAAGAACAAATAACTGTGGTTTATCTAATTTGCGTCGTAAACCAACGACTTCCTGTCTTACAGTTTCCTTTAACAACACTCCACTTATCCCTGTTGAGCAAATCCGATACCTAGGACTCCACCTGGGCAAACGACTAACTTTGAATCCCCATACTTGACTGAAACGACAAGAAACCGCTCGACGTTTCCGATTACTTCAGCACTTACTAGACAAACGCTCTAAACTTCCAATTAATTACAAAAGACTCATATACTTGACTATAATAAGGCCTATTTGGACTTACGGAGTTGAGCTATGGGGCTCCACTAAACCACCGAATTCCTCTCGTATCCAATCCTTACAATCCAAAATCCTTCGTAAAATCCTCAATGCTCCCTACTTTGTTACAAATAAAACCATCCATAATGACCTTAATGTTTCTTTTGTTTCAGATCTGACCCAATCCAGATACCTATCCTTCCATAATAAACTTCAGAATCATCCCAACCCTCTCGTTTCTAACCTTGCTTCCTCTTCAATTCTTGAAACCCTCCGAGGCGTCTGAAAAGAAGATGGCCCCGTGATCTTCTAATGTAAACATATCATTAGAGTGCTACCATTGGGTAGTTACTCAGCAAGTGTTTTTCGTGTCATTATATACAATATGTTCAAATTTACTAGATGTATTTATTTAATACAGTTTTAAATGTCTTAAAGAAATAAAAAAAAAATTATATCTAATTCGAATCTTGCGTTAATTTTGGGACACCCTATATAATTAAAGATGTATGTTTTATTTTCCTTATTTGGGTTCTCACGTTATTAGTTTTTAAAAATATTACTTTTCCATTTCTAAAATAAATCATTTAATTTTAATACGAATTGAATATTATATTTATTTTTGCTTATAAATTATAAATTTGACTGAATGACATAGTTAGGAGCTTCGAACTGCCTCAATTTCACGTGACAGGGACAGAACGGAACTGTTGCAGACTAGCGGGCGACGAACGTGGACTGATACGACAAACATCCAGGGACCAATCTTCTTTATCCCTACCTACGGCCAACTTTTCTCTTCTACAACTTTTGTGGTTTTCCTTCGTTCATCTACTTTTCTTCTTTTTATAGGTATCCTTTTTCCTTCCGCCTTTCTTCTTATTTCTTCAACGTCCGAAGGAGGTATGGGATCAATATTTTGGCAGAGTATTTTCTTTTGTAAGTGGATTTATTGTCGTCGGCTAGTGGAAAAACGAAATATTGAAACGTTATCACTGCTGTTCCATCACTGCTGGACAGTTTATTTGCCACTAAGTGTATTTTTACAAAGTCATTCCCATTTAATATATTTATGTTTTTGTTTTTTTACGATATATATCGACAACCAAACTGCAAAATCTGTGTGTTATTTGATAAGAAAATGAGGTTTTGATCTTTTCTGGTCGATTTCATTATGAGAAATACAAATCAATAACGTTAGTCAAAATAATGTTACATATACTTCTTAACTGTTAAATAAAAGTTGAACCACCAATCTAAATCATAAAATAAAAAATAGGCTGTTTATTTGGTCTTATAAACTTCCGTCAAAATCGGCTGACTGGAAGTGGTAATTTATACAATAGACGAAACACACTTATACGATTTTCTCAACAATGGCTCAAAAGATTTTGATTAAATTCAGCATATCAGTGTAAAATTAAGCAGTATTAAATCAAACGTAATTTTTTATTCTGATTGATGTTCTTTAATAGGACTAATGGCTAATTTTCAATATTAGCTTCCCCTAAAGTATCTTTAATTTTTTTTATTTGAAATAATTGGCATTTTAACATTAATCTCTATTATAAAATATAGTTAAATATAAAATATGAAAGAATTCGATAATTAACTAAAGGAGAAATCAGAGATCGTAACGGATAATGGTTGTAATTGAAGAACCATAGATTAGAACACGCTTCCATAGGTAACATGAGCTTAATATAATAAGGACTCGGACAACATTATGTAAATATACATATGCGGTTTTCAAAAATGCTACTTTTTAATATTTAATTTTATAGATGACAGCTATATACATATTAAAATTTGTATATATAAGGGTACTTATACCAATAAAAATACTCACAATAAAATAAAACAATGGGAGATTTAAAAAAAAAAGTAGGAAATTCAAGTTTCATGTTATATCTTTAAGCAAGATATGTTTTTAGTTAAATAGGAAACGATATCTACAGAAATATTTGATTTAAGTAATTAACAATTGAACCACTGTATCTAGATATCATTTTTTAAAACCATTTAAACAGGACTTTTAAAGAGGAAAGTAAGTTAAGTCCTGTAAAAAAAAAAATCCTAAATTATTCGCGATTTTTTTTTTATCATCTTCCAACTTTACTACAGATACCCCACTTTTATAAAAAAAAAAATCTTGGGTTAATAAGCTTAAGTTCATATTAATTAATTTGAGGTTTATTGCAGAAAAACTTTATATTCACCTCAAGTTGTGTACATAAATGGTATGATTTTTTATCTTGTCACGTAAAAGTATCTACAAAAATAACTACAATTAATTGTTGCAAAGTTATTATTTCTTGTTTTTCCATGACTTAGGATCGATTTTAACGAAAGTAATTGCTTTAAAAAAGGAATTTGCGGAAATAAAATAATAATTTTGCGAACTGTTTTTCGGAAGAATCCTTGGTTTCATTAGAAATAACTTCGAACAGTTATGCACTTGTTAACACATCTACTAAAAATTATAAAACCGTTTTTTAATAAGCGTCTGAAAAGAAAACTTTAATTGCAATATCAAAGAGACTGTGCTATTAATTTATACGCTCAAGATAGTGAAAGCAGATCAAATAGAAAAGATAAGTTCGTTTGTTCCACCATCAGATTCTTAACAAGTATTAAATTAAAAAGGGTTGAATTTTAATTAACTTTGTGTTCTTTCGATGTTGCCATATTATTTTAGTAATAAGCGATTACTAAAAAAATGTTTAAGTTTCTCTATTCTTAATCGTAGCATCGTAAACTATGTTAACGTTGGTTAGTGGATAATAATGAATAAATCAAACTTCGGTGAATTTATAATTCGAATATTAAACAAGATTAGCATCGCTATTTTCCAGAGTGAGCGATAATCGATTTTTTTTAAAGTGTCGATTCCCAAGTAATAACATCCAATAAATCCGTTGGTCAATTTTTTTTTTTTAAGAATGTAGTGAACCTTGTCTTTCTTAAATATTCTTACAAAAATAATGCAGCAAAAGTTTCTTTAACTGCTATTGAAATAACTGTTTATTCAAATAAAGATTAAGAAATCAATGATTTTTTTTATAATTTTTCTCCTCCCCCGAACCATGCGCCATTTTGTCTCTCCAAACTGAACCCTATTATTATTCTATAGAGGATATATTCAATGTACTCGAATATATATATTTCCTATAGTCTTAGTCATTATCTGATTCTGAGTTAAACAGAATAGTGTCGACAGGGAAGCTCACGAGATCTGGTGGTGTATTCCTTTGTGAGAGCCTTGTTCTCTCTCGGCTGGGACATAGATGTTGGGTCAGATGATTGCGGCTAATCCATTTGCTTCTAGGATTGTCCGACAACCAATTACTTACTCCCTGCTTCTGCTCGGCCAATCATCTAATTGAAGCCACTAATAAACTTACGCCATTGGCTATCCTTTGTTTGTCCTTTGCAGGTTCTCTTACTGCTTTAAAGCAGATTTCGGAATCTACAAGCAAGCTTTGTATCCGACTTGACTTCATTATAGAATATTAAATCCCTTATTAACACTTACCTAAGTTTTATTTATTTTAGACAATAAAAAAAATGTGCTGAATAAAATGATCAATGAATAAACCGTAATTAATTATTATAAAATTTGTTTACTCTTTTATAGAAAAAATGCTGCGTGTTTTCTCCAATACGGTCAATCATAATTAAGTTCATCATCGTAATCAGACTGTATGTATTAAATTATAACTGAGTGCATGAATCATGATTCAGTGTAAAGAAAAACTGATTATAAACATTTTTATTTTATTTTATTGTTTATGAAATT